CTAACTAACGAAGGTGCTATCCTTAATAACTCATATCATTGTATCATAGCTGGATAATCGTCATTGTCGATTCCGAGTGGCAACATAGTAGTAGTAGTAGTAGTAGTGTGTGTGTGTGTGTGTGTGTGTGTGTGTGTGTGTGTGGGTGTGTGTATGCGTGTGTATATATGCGTGTGTGTGTGTATGTATGCGTGTGCGTGGGCGTGTATGTGCGTGTGTCTACGTCTGTGTGGAGAACTGCGGCACCTCCTAGTGAACGGGGTCACGGCAGGTCATTCCATTAGTCACGTCATTGCGCATTTTACTTGACTTGTTAACAACGGTGAGCCGTCTCGTTGTGGCCAAGGTAAGGAGACGGCCTTGTTAGGATGTGCATTGGAGGATTGGTAGGATGTTGGTGGAGGATTGGTAGGATGTTGGTGGAGGATTGGTAGGATGTTGGTGGAGGATTGGTAGAATGAGGATTGGTAGGATGTTGATGGGGGATTGGTAGGATGTTGATGGGGGATTGGTAGGATGTTGGTGGAGGATTGGTAGGATGTTGGTGGAGGAGTGGTAGGATGTTGGTGGAGGATTGGTAGGATGTTGGTGGAGGAGTGGTAGGATGTTGGTGGAAGATTGGTAGGATGTGTGGTGAAAGAGTGACAGGATGTGTGGTGGAGGATTGATAGGATGCTGGTGAAGGATTGGTAGGATGTTGTGAAGGATCGATAGAACATATGATTGATGATCTGGTAGGATTGTGATGAAGGATTGGTCGGATACTGTAGCTGGCAGACGGTAGGATTTGCAGCTCACAGGACAGTATCTGGACTACTTGACAGAGGATGAAGGATGTATGGCTGGCAGAGACGCATCCTATAATACCTGTGGCTGGTCATTGTTACGATGAGTAGTGGACGGTGTAGGATTGTGAGTGGGTGAGTGGATATACGACTGAGTAAAACTGACTGACTGACTGACTGACTGACTGACTGACTGACTGCATGATTAAAACGGTTGGAGAGAATTAAAGTAAACGTAGGTAGATGGAAAATACAGTAAATGAAAACCAGAGGGAAAGAGAAAAGGTGAATGAAATGAGTCAGCCACTTAGCGAAAGAGGAAGAGGAGAAGGGCCAAGAATAAACTCCAATATTATTAATGAATGAGAGACCGACAATAGAAAAAAAAAGAATAAATCTCTTTTTGAATGGAATGGGAGTGACAGTTTAAAAATAAAAGAAGGAAATTCGCTCTAAATTAGACTGTATTAAAATAGTTAAGGAGCAAAAACCGTTTTCTATATATTTAATTAGAATATAATAGTTAGTCTTAAAAATGAACTACTGTTTTTTTTATATGACTTGAATACAACAGTTACAGTCTGTATAATAATAATAATAATAATAATAATAATTTAAGGTCCATTTCAAGCATTAAGACAGGTAAATATACAATCGCCTTCACTTATACCTGGTACAGTGGTTACAGCATTTGTGAGATGTGGCATATCTGTGTTTGTTTACATTGAATTAAAACTCTCGTAATGGCCCTAAGGAACGTCGCAATAGTAGCCAGACTTAAGGATGCTAGATAAACATTCCACAGAGTTGCCACATCTCACAAAATGCACTAGACACTGTACCAGGTTTAAGTGAAGCCGACTGTACATTGGATCTCTCACCTTACAATAAGTGTGTAAGTGTAAAAGTGGTTGACTTGTAATCATCTCTTTATGAAATTAATATTAACAATAAGGATAGTTTAGTTTAGGTTGATAGATTTTTACCCTTAAATTGGGATTATGAGAAGAATTTTAGATACCGTAAAGTCTAGGTATAAGTTAGACGCCATCTTTGTTCCCAGTGGTAAGAGGGTACGATACTTTTACATATAAACCCGCCTCATGTCACTATTATTATGGATGATCACTTCAATTATGCGATGACATGACCTGCTTCACGTCATCACCCTCTTGCTCTGTCGTGTCACTCAAAAATAGACACCAACGCAGGAATATGACCCGTATTGCTCTCGACGTCCTGATTGGTCAGATGGAGTGTGCACTTGAATGTCGTGATTGGTCAGCTGGAGTTTACCCTCGACTCCCTGATTGGTCCGGTGGAGTGTGTCCTCAACGCCCTGATTGGTCAGTTAAGGACTCCTGCGACCCTCTCCAATACAAGTACCATTATCCTTTTTTTTTCTGCAATGGCGGGATACTGAACGACGTATTTTTATTAAATTTAACGTATGTGTGTGTAAGGCTGTAAGGCTGTCGTCCCTCCAGCTGTTGGGTGTAGGGAGGTGAACAACAGACGGGTGGTGCCGCTTCACACGTTAGCATCACGCACGTCAACACTCACTGAAAAATCCCCGTGACTAACTGATTTACCCTTGTGACCCGCTGAGGTGTGTGGAGGAACCAACAGAATCTACACCTATACTGTATATCCTAGTTGTGTGTGTGTGTGTGTGTGTGTGTGTGTGTGTGTGTGCGCTTGCGTGATATATTCCTTCAATTTTCGCGATGTGTGATTCTTTCGCGAAGGTCGGAGTCAAAAATATCTTCGCGGGAATCATTTTTCAGTGTAACCTGTAAGTGAAAGATGGCGGGAGGCTGCGTCAATATATTCTGGTACTAATGGTGCTGCCAGCGGTCAAAATATACTGTTAGTCAGGATAGATTGCACTCACGATGGTCAGTATTTTTTCCTCAGTGTTAGTCCTCTTTTCAACGCTTCTCCAGTGGTTAGATGATTATTATCGGTTAGTCAGATTGAGTGTTCGATGGTTAAGAATACATTAGCAGCCATTGGTCAGAATTTATTGGTGTCTGAAGGTAAACACACACACACACGGTACAGTATATTGGTTAGTAATCAGATTATTTTATCGGTGTCGAATTTTTTAAGTGGTGTCTGATGGCCATATTATAGTGATATTCAATGGTCTGAGTTACATTACTATCTGATGGTCAGTGTGTGTGTTTATGTCCGATAGTCAGTTGTAGTCAGAGATCATCGATGTACTTAGTTATATTAGTTTCTGAGAGGCAATATACATTAATACCTTCTGGTTGGATGTCAATGTTCACATGGTCTAAACCTAACCTAACCTAACCTAACCTAACCTAACCTAACCTATGTACTGTATATAACCACGATATTATAGTGTGTGTGAATGATTGATTATATATACGTTAAGTTATAATGTTGACAGGTACCAGACTGCTTACCTACCCGGCCCCTGCATCTCTCTCTCTCTCTCTCTCTCTACGAAAGAAGACTTACAGAAGAAGTAGTAAAACTATACCTAAAGAAGTTCTAATTGGCTGCATATTATCACTGTCTCCCTCCAGCTAAAACGTATACCCCCCCCCTCTCCTCCTCTCCATCTCCCCTCCCCTTCCCTCTCCTCCTCCACCCTGAGTCCTTCCTCCCCTCCCCTAGAAAAAAAAAGTACGAAATTAAATGACTCGCTGGCAACTCCTCCACAGACATTAAAGATTTATTCTCAACACTCACTCGGCGTCTTGTATCGTATTGTATTTATAGATCCTCTTTTCTTAATAAATATGTAATTTTTTTAATGTTTTATTACTTGTTTTTGGATTTTTTTTTTTTTTAATCTAGTTAACTGTGACTGAGCGAGATAAATTTTTTGGGGGTATTTTATTACGAAATTGACGAAGTGGCAACTCAAGGGTGGGGAAGGGGGGGGGAGTCTCTGCGTCCTTCTTCGTTTGATCAATAGTGTGAAGTTCCTAGATGTCTCTCTCTCTCTCTCCCTCTTTGTCCTTTCCTTTGATTCAATTACATTCTTCTCGTTTTCTTCTTCATTATTTGGTTTCAGATTTATTATCTTTAAGACAGTTTCTCTCTCTCTCTCTCTCTCTCTCTCTCTCTCTCTTCTTCTTCTTCTTCTTCTTCTTCTTTTTCTTCTTCTTTAAGACGTTTACGGTTCTCACGTCTTTTCCTTCAGTATTAAAAATTTCGTCTTTAAAAAATTCTATCATATCTCTATCTATCTATATATCTATCTGTCTGTTTATATATCTATATGTCTGTCTGTCTATCTATCTATCTGTCTGCCTGTCTGTCTGTCTTTCTGCCACATAAATATATAAATTAATATAATGATAATAATAATAAACTAGGCAGTATTTTCCTCGTGTGTGATGACATGGTGACCCAAGAGGAGAGTATCAACAGGTGGATGATCCTGATCACTGATTTCCCACCCACCACCCACTCCACCCCACCCCCACCTCCAACCCCACCCCCCAACTCTCCAAGCCCACCTCCCCCCACCCCCCCTCCAGCCCCCCACCTCAACCCCACCCCACCAGCCACCCCCACCCCAACCCCACCCCCAACCCCCACCTCCAACCCCAGCCACCCCTCCCACCCCACCCTCCAACCTCCCTCCAACTCTCCAACCACATCCCGAGGCGCTATTAAACAACAAAAAAGGGGACATTGAAAGGCCAGAAGAAAGATAAGTTAAGAGCGATAATACCACGGAATAAATAAACGAGGAGAAAGAACCAATTAATTCCCTAGTGACACGAACGATCTATAGACCCGGCCATATAGGATTTATTAGTGGAATTTGATACGTGTGATTAACATATGTTTTTTTTAGTGGTATTTTTTTAACAATTGACTATAAGATCTTGCTGGTTTGATTTTTTTTTCTTTCCACTCTTGGTTAATTTTTTCCTTGAGTCTCCCTTTAAATAGTTTTCCTCGATACCTCATAGAAAACTTGGCCGTGTTGTGAGTAGTGTGTGACAGAAGGTTGATAGCACAAGTTAACACACACACAAAAAAAAAGAGATATGGCGTTGTCTCTTTGTATGTTTATCTCTCTGTTTGTTTGTCTCTCTCGACGTCTCTATAGTATTGTATTTAATGTTGTTTATTTCACACATTGTCTCTGCCTCACTGGAGAGAGAGAGAGAGTTTGTGTTACTCATCTGATCACCTGACAGAACTCGGTCTCTCCACCTACAGGGTCTGTCCCGCGGAGGGTCGGGCGAGGCAGACGTGGGGCGGTTGGCGTCGCTGGAGGAGACTAACAACACCCTGAGGCAGCAGCTGGAGGAGTTGGAGCTGCTCACCCGCCAGCACCACACCCTCCAGCGACACGTCCAGGAGAAGGACCTCGAGTGCGTCACCCTCAAAGAGAAGCTCAAGCTCAAGAACGAACTCTGCCACGATTTGGTGAGTCCGATGTGACGAGACGGGGCGGGAGGAGACGGGACGGGATGGGAAGGGATAGGACGGGGAGGTAGAAGACGGGATGGGAAGGGATGGGGTGGGGAGGGAGAAGACGGAACAGGATGGCACTGAACAGGACAGGGCGGGACGGTAAGGGAGGAGACAGGACAGGACAGAACAGGACGGGACGGGACGGGACGGGAGGAAACGGGACGGGAGGAAATGGGACGGGAGGTAGATACGAATATGAGTTATATATGATTTATTTTTAAGTACAGCTGTGGGCTAATTCTCTGCACACCTTTAGCTTTAATTGGAATCTACTTAAGGTGTATCCAGGTAAGGTCAATCATGCTCTTAACATTTCCTTACCTATGCATCAAATTACAATAAATCTTGCATATTATTGTTCTGATGAAATTAATAGTTAAAAGATACCTTCATTAGCTATAAACTAATTATAAACTACAAGTGCATTATCAATTCTCTCCAGGTGTCAAGGTAATTATGCACCTTAATTATACCTGCAGGTGAGTATATGGAGCATACTCAGATGTTCTCTGGGTAAGATATACTCCAGGTTCTTATAGGCAGCCATGGAGGAGGTATACTTAAGGGCAGAATGGTTAGGTTAGGTTTATGGGTGGGTGGGGATGGTTGAGTTGGTGGTAATGGTTAGATGTTTATTATAGAATAGAAACTAGAAACATTAGAATAAACTCTTTGGTGGTCGTAGTGTGAAGTAAAGAGGATCTCAAATTTACCTGTGGATTTTTTTTACATAAGTGATATGGATAACTCAGGAAGACGTATATTTGTTAACTTGGTGCTGTGATTTTCAATGATCAAGAATATTTTCATCTCGTTAAGCTCACAGGGGGACGAGATCTAAACTCCCCCGGACCTAAAAAAAAAAGGGAGGGGGGGGGGGCGATCGAAGTCTTCAGGAAACGAGTCTTTGTCCAGGGAGTCACAGGGAGCAAGAGTCAAGGGTGGTGGATCCAGTTCTTTAGAGGGTTCAGTTATTTCACCACTCTCGGGGTCTCAGGAAATCGAAAACTCCACAGGGTGATTGAGGTCTTAATGGAAACAAGACTTAAAGGGTGTTGGACGGCTTGTGAAATCTAAAGGAAATGAAATCTATGGTTCTTCAAAGTCTTAATTAGAGAACTTTAGATAGGTGAGGTGAGGTGAGGTGAGGTGAGGTTAGGTGAGGTTAGGTGGCGTGAGGTGAGGTAAGGTTAGATTTATACGTAGTAGTTCTGTGAAAGTCATTTTTGTATGTTTTTTGTTAACCAGTCGACTGTAACAACTCACTTTCAACTTCTGTCAGTACTAACGAGGTAGTATCAACAGCTGTACAAATCACCACATTATGCCTTCTTGACTGATCGTTAGTCACTTTTACCATTACAATAATTAACTACGTGTTGGTGGGTAGTTTTCTTATCAGGTCAATCTTCTCCACAGTGTTAACAACCCTTATCTTGTTGAACTTAACCTTGATTTAAGTCGTTTGTGTTAGTTATACCCCAAAGAACAGGTTTATGTGACGTATTACCCATTATGAAATTAATTAGTAATTCGCTCATTTTGCTATTACCAAAAGGTCAGATTAGGACAATTAGGAATTACGAAGCGAGTAGCGGTGGAATTAGGCTGGTGATCAATCTAATTGTTTGAGTAATTAGTAACAATTAGCCTCCTTTCATGCAGCTGTAGACAGGGTGTATTTAGTACTTTTTGACAGCAGCTAATTAAAATATCACACTTAATTTCTAGTATCTGTTGACTGTAGGTTAGGTTAGGCTAGGTTAGGTTAGGTTAGGTTAGGCTAGGCTAGGCTAGGTTAGGTTAGGTTAGGTTAAGTTAGGTTAGGCTAGGTTAAGTTAGGTTAGGTTAGATAAGGTGTAATATTTTGTATTATTGTTAATTAATATTATTAACAAGAGTAAAAACAAAATGAGCCATACTTAAATATAGGCCACATGAACGGGGGTACTATAAAAGAGTCAGTCAGCCAGCCAGCCAGTCAGTCAGTCAGTCAATCAATCAAGTCAATTAAGTCGGTAATCGTTGTTTAAGTTATTAAGCAAGAAGTCGCCAAAATCACCAGTTATAAAAGATGTTTGTTTATATGTTTATTTGTTTGTTTGTTTGTATATTTATTTTTTTGTTTTTATCACCGATATATTTATTACCTTGTATCAGGACTCCACCACCAGCCACTGAAGTTATTGACAACTCACCAATCACGGACCCAGATTCGAAACTTAACCTAACCTAATCTAAATTATAGTAACCTAACCTAACCATACTTAACCTAGCCTAACCTAACCTAACCTAGCCATACCTAACCTAACCATACCTAACCTAACCTAACCTAACCATACCTAACCTAACCTAACCATACCTAACCTAGCCTAACCTAACCTAACCTAACCTAACCTAACCTAACCTATACCCTTTAAAACATAACTCAACCCAAACTTAATCCTTGATCCTTTACTTCCTGATTTGAATTCAATTTTGGGTTCGAATCCTGGTCCGGGAATGGGTTCGGAAGTGGGGTTCGAATACTGGTCCGGGAATGGGTTCGGAGGTGAAGGGTGAGACAGGATAGTGGGTTCGAATTCTTGTCCAGGAATGGGTTCGGAAAAGGGGTTCGAATATTGGTACGGGGATGGGTTCGGAGGTGAAGGGTGAGACAGGATAGTGGGTTCGAATTCTTGTCCAGGAATGGGTTCGGAAAAGGGGTTCGAATCCTGGTACGGGGGGGGGGGGAATGTTGGGTTACATCAATAGACTCTAAGATGTATGTATGTAATTGTGTTTATCTGATTCTGTTGACCTCTGACCTTTCTTCCTCCCCTCCCCCCACCCTTGCCGCCCAGGATGCCGCCCACCACCCACATCAGGTGACTCCATGCCGCCCAGGTTTATGTTTTCGTGTTATTGGCTTTAGTGATTGTGTGTGTCTGTATACCCATATGTCTGAGTCTGCGTGTGTGTGTGTGTGTGTGTGTGTGTGTGTGTGTGTTTGTGTGTGTGTGTGTGTGTGTTTATTTTTCACTATTTGTTTCTTTTGTCTTTCGTTATTTCAATTACTCTCTCTCTCTCTCTCTCTCTCTCTCTGCTTATATTTACATCTGTCTTTCTACAAATTTCGCTGATTATTTGTAGATTTTCACCTGTGATTAATTTTTTACTAAATAGTGTCTGTCTGTCTGTCTGTCTGTTTGTTTTTTTTGTTTGTTTGTTTGTTTGTTTGATGTATGTGTTCGTGGTGTTATATACAAATGAACTTACGTCACACTTGATGAGGGATAAAGTTTATTTGCGATAAGTTCAATAAATTTTCTTTTAATTCAAATTGATCTTTATATGATAACTGTTCCTATAGTGGCACTCACACTATAGGCTCTTGTTACATACTATCATTACTAACCTAACTACCTATAGCCTCGTTTAGGTACAGTTTAGGTGGTGATAGCTAATTGTGTCTGGAATAAAAATGAGACAATTTGATCGTATCTGAAGTAATTTGTATTTATTTGTAGCAAAAAAAAAAAAAATTATTCCCAATTGACAAAAACATAAGTTGTGTTTTAAGCTTAAATTGGACGATTATCCCTATTTAGCGTGGCAGACAAACACACACACACACACACACACACACACACACACACACACACACACGACTCTACAGGTTGTAAAGCATGCAGCGTACATCCATTTGTTTTTGTTTTTATTTTGCTTTGTGTGTTCACCCCGTGTGTTCACCCCGTGTGTTCTCCCCGTGTGTTCTTCCCGTGTGTTCACCCCGTGTGTTCTTCCCGTGTGTTCTCCCCGTGTGTTCACCCCGTATGTTCACCCCCGTGTGTTCACCCCGTGTGTTCTCCCACGTGTGTTCACCCCGTGTGTTCTCCCACGTGTAATCACCCCGTGTGTTCTCCCACGTGTGTTCACCTTCTGTGTTCAAAGACTAGTGTGAATTTGCTTCATTTATTCTGAACTTGTAACTTCTCCTGCATGATAAGGCAATGTCTCTTAAGCCTTAATTTAACACCTGAAGGAACGCTAATCGGGTATGAACATTTTAACCCAGCGTCATCATTATCCTTGTTCTACAGTTCTGTTCATATTAGTGTTCTTGTTCATGTTGTAGTACCACTGTTATATTTGTTCTTTGTTATTGTGACCATTATTGTATTTGTTTGTCTTTGTTATTTGACCAGTGTACTGTAATCTTCTTCCCTATTTCGTTTATCATGTTTTTTTTATTCACTATTTCGAGTAATATGCTCTTTTTATTGCCTATTTTAATCACTTATGTAATTTAATTCCCTTTTTCGGTAATTTATGTATGTCCTTCCCTATTACAATCAATGTTATGTTTGTTCTTCCCTACGATCACTTTTATGTTTGTTCTTCCCTATTACGATCAATGTTATGTTTGTTCTTCCCTATTACGATCACTTTTATGTTTGTTCTTCCCTATTACGATCAATGTTATGTTTGTTCTTCCCTATTACGATCACTTTTATGTTTGTTCTTACCTATTACGATCACTTTTATGTTTGTTCTTCCCTATTACGATCAATGTTATGTTTGTTCTTCCCTATTACGATCACTTTTATGTTTGTTCTTCCCTATTACGATCACTTTTATGTTTGTTCTTCCCTATTACGATCAATGTTATGTTTGTTCTTCCCTATTTCGATCAATGTTATGTTTGTTCTTCCCTATTACGATCACTTTTATGTTTGTTCTTCCCTATTTCGATCAATGTTATGTTTGTTCTTCCCTATTTCGATCAATGTTATGTTTGTTCTTCCCTATTACGATCACTTTTATGTTTGTTCTTCCCTATTACGATCACTTTTATTTGTTCTTCCCTATTTCGACCACTAAATCCCCAAATCCTCTCTGAAATTGTTTTTTTTTGTTCTCCACCTCCTAGATAACCGATTTTTTTTTCAATGTTCTTCGACCACTGACTGTTCTGTTCTCTCTGTAGGAATCTCAGTTGGCCCGTGTTATCGAGAAGAACACAGAACTAACGATCCAGAACTCAGACCTTCAGAAACAAATACAAGAATTACAACTACAACATGTAAGTACTAGTTCAAATCTTGTGTTATTGTTGTTTTTGTTGATTTATGTACCAGGTATTCTTGTTTGTTATTGTTTGTTTTTGTTTGTTTTTTGTTTTTATTGTTTGTTATTGTTGTTAAGGTGTTTAATTGTCTGGTGAAATAATCTGGGGGGCCTGATCTTCACGTGATCTCGGCAGCTGACCTTCAAAATCAGGTTCAAAGCAAAACAAATTATGAAAATATTAAAAAAAAAAAACTATTTAAATCTCTATATATCTGTTTAACTTCCAATTTATATCTTTATCTGTCTATCTGTTTATCTGTCTGTATGTTTAATCTGTCTGTCTAAATAATTATCTGTATCTGTATGTCTATTTGCTTATTTCTCTATGTCTATCTATCTGCCTATCTCTGTCCATTTTTCATCTGTCTGTCTGTCTGTCTCTCTCTCTCTCTCTCTCTCTGCATGTCGTGTTAATATGCTGCCCAGGACGATTAAGTGATTAGTGCAGGTTATTTGACTTTGTAGCCCCCCTACACCTTCCCTCCCCCTCACACCCCCACCCCTCACACAACCCTCCCCCCCACGCACATTACTCCAGCCCTGTTGTTTCTGTTGTTACTGTTGCTTTGGTTACTGTTGGTATTACTGTTGTCACCTCCTCCTCCTCCTCCTCCCCCCATCTCACCTTTCTCCTCTCTCTCCCCTCCTTCCTCTTTCTCCTTCTCTCTCTTCCTCCTCCCACTCTCCTCTTCCTTTTCTTCCTCCTCCTCCTCCTCCTCCTACTCTTCCTCCTACTCCCCTTGCTCATTTTCTTCCATCCTTCCTCCTCTTCCCCTCCTATTACTGTTCCTCCTCCTCCTCCTCCTAGTCTTCCTCTTCCTTTCCTTCCTTCTCCTCCCCTCCTCCTAGTCTTCCTCCTCCTCCTCCTAGTCTTCCTCTTCCTTTCCTTTCCTTCCTCCTCCTCCTCCACCTCCTCATCCTCTTCCCCTCCCTCCTCCTCCTCTTCCCCCCTCCTCCACCTCCTCCCCTTCCCCACCTCCTCCCCCTCCACCACCTCTTCCCATTCCTCCTCATCCTCTTCCCCCTCCTCCTCCTCCTCATCCCCTCCACCTCCTTCTCCTCCACCTCCTCCCCCCTCCACCACCTCTTCCCCTTCCTCCTCTCTTCCTCCACGGCGTTCATTTCATTATACACACACCTGTTTGACGCCTTAATAACTACGTAAAAGGAAAACCGGTGTATATATTATTTTTTCACTCTCCCCTCAGCAGTGCAGTAAGAGACCGTCATGCACTCTGGCTAATAGACTAAAGCTAACTCGTTCTTCCCCGCCGCGTGAATGACTCGAGAGTGACAGGACTCATTCACGGATTCGTACTCAAGATTGCTATTTGGGTTTGTGGGGAAGGGGTTGAAGGGGTGTGTGTGTGTGTGTGTGTGTGTGTGTGTGTGTGTGTGTGTGTGTGTGTGTGTGTGTGTGTGTGTGTGTGTGTGTGTGTGTGTGTTGTGTTTCTTGTAATCTGTGTACAGGAATATGAAACACGCACACAGACACACACACACACTGATTAAAAAAGGGGAAATAGAGAGAGGTGGGAAAAAAAAGAGAAGAAAATTGAGCAGAATGAGACGGAGAGAGAGAGAGAGAGAGAGAGAGAGAGAGAGAGAGAGAGAGAGAGAGAGTTCTTACATGGCGCCTTCCTCCCCTAAAATGCACATCTGTACAAACTATTAAGATTTTGGACCACTAGGTTGGGCTAGTTAGGTCAGGTCAGGTCAGGTCAGGTCAGGTCAGGTCAGGTTAGGTTAGGTTGGGTTGGGTTGTAGGTTGCTGGGTTGTTGGGGTTGGGTTGGGTTAGATTAGGTTAGGTCAGTCAGGTTAGGTTGGGTTGGGTTGGGTTGTGGGTTGGGTTGTGGGTTGGGTTGTAGGTTGTGGTCTGTTGGTTGGGTTAGGTTTGGTTGTGGGTTGGGTTGGTTGGTGTTGGGTTAGGTTGGGTTGTGGGTTGGGTTGTGTTAGGTGTAGGTTAGGTTAGGTTAGGTTAGATAGGATATAATAGTTGGTGCTTCCTATCGTATATATGAGGTTTTGCTTATCAGCATTATCAGCTTAACGCCGGTCGATATCTTGTTGATAATAAAGGCTTGATAACACCATCCGGTTATTGATCAACATCACATTAACTAATATGTGAGGTTATGTCTTTCACAACCCCCGTTACCTCTGAAGAGTTATTGTAAAGTAACTAATACCAACCGAGGTAAGTGTGTGTGTGTGTGCGTGTGTGTGTGTGTGTGTGTGTGTGTGTGTGTGTGTGTGTGTGTTGTTTCCTCCCCGAAACTGAAGAGAGACTAAGGGTTCAAATAAGCAAAATAACTGAACCACAACCTCCAAAACTCTTACTAAATTTCCATGTTGTAATTTTTCTTCTTCACAACACCAAGAGTGAGATTTATTTTCTTGGGCCAAATTTCCCAAGATACTTAAGAAAATATATGATGTATTGATCTGTTTATTTAATTTTTTTTTGGGGGGAGAGTAAAGTAATTGTTTTATATTATTATTATTATTATTATTATTATTATTATTATTATTATTATTATTATTATTATTATTATTATTATTATTATTTTTATTTTTGTGTATGAAGGTGTAAATTAAGACACTGTGATGGCTCAGGTGTAACAGGAAGCTTTGAAAACTTTTAATACTTGGGTTCGAATCCCTTTACTAAGGATGATAATAACAGAGGAAAAACAAAACTCACTGACACTTTGTTTCCTCTTAGACTAACAGTGTAAGGGAGAGGGATGGAGAGGGGTAGAGAGGGATGGAGAGGGGGTGGGTGGTGGTGGTTGGTTGGTTGGAGCAATTGCGGAACCTCCACTCTGCCACACAAAGGCGACTCAAGTAGATCCCCACCTCCCATGGCAGTGTTGGGGGTGTGGGGCTATCTCACCACTCAGCGGGTAAAGGCGCCAGGAGCGTTTCTTAGCTCCTTTTAGCTTATCTCAGCTAACACGTTATTCATTTTGCGAGTGGCACAACGCCTGCCTGCCTGGTCTCTCTCCTCTCTGTCCTCACCCTTCCACCCTCCCCATTTTCTCCCCCATTTTTTCTCTTCCTGGGATATTTCTGGAGTTTCCGTTTTCAAGAGTGCTGGAATATCCACACACACACACACACACACACACACACAGGGTCTGAGACAACGGCATAATATTCTGAGACAGACAGACAGACAGACACAGACAGACAGACAGACATTATTATAACACATCCATAGCCGTTGCACTATCATACTTTTAACCACTTTATAACCTAATACATACAGAATTACCATATCGCTGGAGGCATTATGGCACTGAGGCATTATGGCACGAGGCATTATGGCACTGAGGCATTATGCTGAGGCATTGTGCATGGAGGCAATATGGCACTGAGGCACATGGCACCGAGGCAATTATGGCACTGAGTCACTATGGCACCGGGCATTATGGCACTGAGTCACTATGGCACTGGAGGCATTATGGCACTGGAGTCACTATGGCACTAGGCGGCATTATGGCACTGAGTCACTATGGCACCGAGGCATTATGGCACTGAGTCATGGCACCGAGGCATTGCGGCGAGTCACTATGGCACCGAGGCATTATGGCACTGAGTCACTATGGCACGAGGCATTATGGCACTGAGTCACTATGGTACTGGAGGCATTATGCACTGAGTCACTTTATGACCGGGCATTATGGGCACCGAGTCCCTATGGCACTGAGTCACTATGTAACCGAGCATTATGGCACTGAGTCACTATGGCACTGAGGCATTATGGCACTGCAATAGACATAACAGTAAAACAACCATAAAGGCACCATAACAATACTCCTCTAAGACAACCATAAAGGCACCATAACAATACTCCTCTAAGACAACCATAAAGGCACCATAACAATACCCTCTAAGACAACCATAAAGGCAACATAACAATAATTTAAGACAAACCATAAGGCACCATAACAATAATTCTAAGACAAACCATAAAGGCACCATAACAATACCTCTAAGACAACCATAAAGGCACTATAATACCTCTTAAGACAACCATAAAGGCACCATAACACCTCTCTAAGACAACCATAAAGGCACCATAACAATACCCTCTAAGACAACCATAAAGGCACCATAACAATACTTCTAAGACAACCATAAGGCACCATAACAATACCTCTAAGACAACCATAAAGGCACCATAACAATACCCTCTAAGACAACCATAAAAGGCACCATAACAATATCCCAAGACAACCATATAAAGGCACCATATACAATACCTCTAAGAAAAACCATAAAACCATAACAATACCCTTAAGACAACCATAAAGGCAATCATAACAATACCTCTAAGACAACCATAAAGGCACTATAATATCAAGACAACCATAAAGGCACCATAACAATAATTCTAAGACAACCATAAAGGCACCATAACACACTTCTAAGACAACCATAAAGGCACCATAACAATACCCTCTAAGACAACCATAAAGGCACCATAACAATTCTAAGACAACCATAAAGGCACCATAACAATACCCTAAGACAACCATAAAGGCACCATAATAATACCCCTAAGACAACCATAAAGGCACCATAACAATTCTAAGACAACCATAAAGGCACCATAACAATACCTCTAAGACAACCATAAAGGCAACAATACTCTAAGACAACCATAAAGGCACTTCATAACAATACCCTCTAAGACAAACCATAAAGGCACCATAACAATACCTCTAAGACAACCATAAAAGGCACCATAACAATACCCTCTAAGACAACCATAAAGGCACCATAACAATTCTAAGACAACCATAAAGGCACCATAACATTCTCTAAGACAACCATAAAGGCACCATAACAATACCCTCTAAGACAACTAAAGGCACCATAACAATACCTCTAAGACAACCATAAAGGCACTATAAAATAACATCTCTCGGCAATCAGAGCATAAC